CGGCTTTTCACAGGTATTGAGTTATAATTTAAAGTAACAAAATTACAGGACACGAGATGGAGAAAATGCAAGTTAATAGGATCGAAAAGAACACTGGAAAAGGATTACAACCTTATATTAATAGTTGAAATGGAATTATAAAAGGGCCTAAACCAAGGTGTGGTTTGCAGTAGATAGAAATGAAAGTGGCCATAATAGAAGGACTGAGGAAAACCTATAATAGAGCTTCAGAAGTGCATAACACTGGAAAAGGATTACAACCTTATATTAATAGTTGAAATGGAATTATAAAAGGGCCTAAACCAAGGTGTGGTTTGCAGTAGATAGAAATGAAAGTGGCCATAATAGAAGGACTGAGGAAAACCTATAATAGAGCTTCAGAAGTGCATTAATTAAACAAAATAATGGCAGGACGGTAGAATATTTTTATTTATACATATTTTTCCCAATGATCTCAGCAAGATATTATTCAACCTCTCGGGTTGCATATGATTAACATAATAGGTAACAAATTTAGGTCAATTATATTGTAGTAACGGTAGCACTGTGGTGCAAGAAACTAATCTCCTTTTATGTAACACTGTTTGTTTTGTTTGTTTGTTTTGTTTATTTGGAAAATTAATAAAAAATTCATTAAAAAAAGATTTAAGGAGCAATTCATTGCAACTTAAACTGAAAGTAATTCTCTTGGATAGAAACAGCAAGCAACAAGACACTTACCAGCAAGCATTCTGGACAATGGTAGATGAATGCTGACAGGATCTGCAGAGACTTTGAAATGTTTACTTTCCAGAGTATGTCCACCTAAATGAATCACTGTCCTCTCCCTTGAACAGCTATTTGCACTACATTTCACTACTGCTGCATGGCATTCCTTGTAAGCTGTCAGCAACAACTTTTCCTAGAATGGACAATATTCGTACAAATGTAACTTTGAAATATACATCCTTTCCCCCAACGATGTAATGGTGCTCAAAACGCTCTACAGACAATTTTCTTTAATATGGCACACATCATGCATCTCAGGTTAGAGAAAACAGAGTTTAATATTAAACCTTTATGATAATACAACTCTCTAAGAGATACAAAAAGAAGTTATTCTATAAGAATATGCATTGTCCAGTTGAATTTCTTTAGCAGCATCCTTCTTTTTTCTGACTGGGAGCAAAGCATCCAGGCCTCATCCTCACAATTATCGAACAGTTAAATAAATGCATTAAGTACATGTAAACCCTCTATACATACCTATTTTCGAGCATCTCCACTCTGTCAATTTTCAGACACCATTTCCTCCTATTAGAACTTTTTGACTTAACTGTATGTTTTTAATTCTGAAGTTTCATGAAAGATATACAATGCCAGACATTGCCGAACTAATTTTGTCATGGTGTAAGAAGTCATTTTAGCTTCATAAAATGGGTTTCAAAACCTCAAAGAAGCTTTGTAGAACAAGACACAAGGATCCAGTGAAAATATGTACCCCCATAGCAGGTTTTTCCTATAAATGACTAGCTCAGGTTTGACACACATGCAAATTCCTATCCAAGTCAAGAATCTATACTTTGGCTGCGGTCACACACACTAAATAATCCACTTTCAATCCACTTTCACTGCACTTTCCAACTGGATTTTTACTGTGTGAACTGGAAAAATGCAATTCGAAAGTGGATTGAAAGTGGATTATTTAGTGCATGTGACTGCAGCCTTTGTAAAATAATGGCTGTTCTATGTTATGCATCTTTATATTATGCCAACTTGTTAACAGCATCATATAAGTGGGGATTTATTTATTTGGCTGAATGCAAAGATTTCCACAGACTTTTCAGATCAATAGAACTACTATAACAGGATGTGCCACTTCAACTGTTGAGGGCCCAGGAGGAAACAAACACTGATAGGTTAATGTTGAGCATTCAGGCCTACCATGGTCTGGGAAAGGAGAGGAGGGAACTGCTCACAAGGAACTTCTGAAAATTTTAGATCTTCCATGAACAGTAGGTTTCTCTATTATACAGTGGCACAATTTTGTTCAAAAAAACTTACATCACAAGCACACCACTCCTGAAACATCAAGAGAACATTCTTCAACTGCATCTGAATAGTAATAGCTGCTTCCCAGTCTGGATCCACCTCAATGTGTTGACCAATTTGCCTTTTTATTTCTTCCATTCCCTGTAATTACATTCCACATACATAATTGCATTGTAATATTTTGACCGGTCACAATCCACATAACTGCTTTCAGACTTATTTAGAGATTGTTATGCTCCTGGACTAATTTACATGGAAGTTAGTTCAAACTGAATCAAGGCAAGTTGTAATCCCATTCAAATATGATTATGAGAGTGGACTTTAATTTTATCCCAGTTTGAAGCATCATGAATATATGAACTACTGGATGAGACCACTGATCTATCTACTCTGGCACCCTGTCTCATACAGTGGCCAACCAGTTATTTTGGAGGAACAACAACAGGCACAAAGGCCAAGGCCTTCCCCTGAGGTTGTCTCCTGGCATGGATTGTCTCCTGGCATTCATGGATTGACTGTCTCTGAATTCAAAGGCTCCCTTTAGTCAACATGGCTAGTAGCCACTGATAGACCTGATAGACCTGTCCTCCATGAATGTGTCTACTCCCTTTTTAAAGTGCTCTGTGGTTGTGGTCACCACTACATCCTCTGGCAGTGAATTCCACATTTCAATCACTCATTATGGAAATTTCCTTTTCTTCACACTGAATCTACTGCCCATCAACTTCATCAGATGCCCTCAAGTTCTAGTACTTTGGGAGAGGGAGAAAAAGGTTCTCTGCCCAATGCATAGTTTTATAAACCTTCATCATGGCCCTGCTTAGTTGTCTCTTTTTCTAAACTGAAAGTCCCAGACTCTTCAGCCTTTCCTCATAGGAAAGGTGTGCTCCAACCACTTATGTGCTCTGTGCTGTACTTTATCAGCACCGCAATGTCCTTTCTGAGATATGGTAACCAGAACTGCACACAAATGAGGCTGCACCATAGATCTATATAGGGGCATTAGAAGGTTGGTCATTTTGTTTTCAATTCCTTTCCTGGTAATCCCCCTCATAGAGTTTAGCCTTTTCATTGCTGCAGCGCAACAAAGCCAAGGTCTCTTTCCTTAAAATACTTGACGTTGGAATGTTTTGTTCCAATATAGATCACCTCACACTCACCTGCACTGAACTTCATTTGTCACATTGTCGCCCATTCACCCAATTTGTGGAGATCCTCCTGGAGCTCTTCAGAGGCATCTTTGGCTTTCACCACCCTGAATAATGTTGTGTCCTCTGCAAACTTGGCCGCTACACTGCTCACCTCTAGTTCCAGATCATTTATGAATAAATTAAATAGGACCAGCCCTAATACTGATCCTAGTGGGATCCCACTGCCTACTTCTGTCCGTTGCAAAAGCTATTTATTCCTACTCTTTGCTTCCTGTCATTTAACCAATTTTTAATCCCTAAGATAACCCATCCTCTTACCCCATGACTGCTAAGCCTGCTTAAGAGTCTTTGGTGAAGTACCTAGTCAAAAGCCTTTTGAAAGTCCAAGTACGTAATGTCTACTGGGTCACTGTTATCTACATGCTTGTTCACTCTCTCAAAGAACTCCAAAAGGTTGGTGAGGCAGCACTTCCCTTGGCAGAAGCCATGCTGATCTCCTGCGGATTCCCCTTTGCTCCTCTATGCACCTAATACAGTTTCTACTAATTTGCCTGAGACAGACATTAGGCTCATTAATTTCCTGGTTCCCATTTGGAACCCTTTTAAAAAAAATATTGTGTAACATTTGTTACTCTCCAGTCTTCTGGTACAGTTGTTGATTTTAGTGACAAGTTATATATACGGGTTAGTAGATCAATATTCAAGTTCCTTAAGAACTCTTGGGAATATGCCAGCAGTGTCTAAAGACATTGATTTTGAATTTCTCCAACAGGTTTAGAACTTCAACTCTTGTAACCTCAATTAGATAGTTTTTCAGACTCCCTTCCTGAAAATAGTGGCTGTGGCCTGGGTACATGCTCCACACTTTCCACAGTGAATACAGATGCAAAGAATTTGTTGAGCTTCTCTGCCATGTCCTCATCTTCCTTTAGCAAGCCTTTTATTCCTTGGTCATCCAAAGGTCCAACTGCTTCTCTGGCTGGTTTCCTGTTGCAGATATATTTACAGAATGCCTGCCTTGATGTTTTAGTAATATGCTCCTTAAATTCTCTTTTTGCATACCTAATTATTCGCTTACACTTCTTTTGCCAGACCCTTTGGTCCCTTCTGTTCACGTCATTGGATCAGACTTCCACATTCCAAAAGAAGCATTTTTGTTTTCTATGACTTCCCTGACTGAGATAGTTAACTATGCAGGCATTCTTTTAGACTCAGCAGTATGCTTTCCAACCTGGGGGATGCATTCTATCTGGGCTTTAATTAGTGTAGGTTTAAATAACTTCCAAGCATTTTCCATGGATTTAACCCTCTTGTGTTTTCCTTTTAGCTTCTTTTTAAATACTGACCTGATTTTTGTATAAGTTCCCTCTCTTGAAATCAAATGTTACTGTTTTGGACTTCACTGAGGTAAAACAAAAAAGTCAGATCCCCTTAAAAACACTTAAAGAATCTTTATGATTTCATATTATGAAACAGTACTATATTAGAGTACACTGGTGTAAAATGGTCATTATCCCAGCAATGCATTTTGAGTGTTAATACTATTAAACTCATCAAAGTCAAATTAGATATGTGCCACTAACACACAGTACCTGCATGCAAGCAAGAACCTTCAGGAAAGACCGGAACCCTTCCAAAAATTGTTCCCGCAGCTTTTCTGTCCATAATGTAGGCTTACTGATCAAAATGTATCTGTCAATTTAAAAAATTTCTTGTATCATTTCACACATTCAGAGGTTTCCTGCCTTCATTAAAAAAAACCTGGCTTCAAACAAACAATATAGAATTAGAATTATATAGCGATGGTCAGGATTCTGGAAATCTGCACATGGAAACCCCATTGATGGCTATTTTGTTGATGTAGCCAGGTTGAAATGTGGACAGGTAGGGAGTTAATGACGAATGATATCCACTGCCACAATTTTATCAGAACAAGTATTTGCAGTTTAGGGAGACAAAACATAATGTAAGACTGTTATTGTCTATATCTCAGGCACTACTTAATTTCTAGAATCCAACTAGCAACTATATCCTGGTGACAGCAAAGCAATGTGAGAAGGAAGGAGGCACTGTGCTGGCCTGTCTGACTGAAGGCCAGCAGTAGATCTGTGATTTCAACCAGCCAGGGCTCAGAAATATTAAGGACTCCTCAGGAGAAGAGACTTTTCAGGAGAAGAGGAGCCCCATGTAGCCAGCCTTGAATGAACAGAAGTTGATCAGCAGAACAGAAGTTGATACAGGCTTGAATAGAAGTTGATACAGGCTTGTCAGGATTCACAGCCAACAGCTGATGCAGAACCACCGACATCCTCCAGTCCTGATTCAGCAGGTGAACCTCAGTTATCCAATTGTTCCCAGCCCCAGTATCTCCTACACCCTTAGAGTGCTGCAGACAGAGGCTGAGAACAGAATTACAGGCAAGAAGGCAGAGTGCACGCCTCCTGGTCCAACACCAGCTGCTTGCTGATGACAAAGATGAGTAGTTACAGGATTATTTCTGAGCAGCTGGCTACAAGCATGAACCTTAGGCATGGGGCTATAAAAAAACAGCCAAGAAAGGCTGTTAGGCATGGACGCAATGCATAAGATAGAGCAGGGGTGTCAAACATAAGGCCCAGGGACCGGAACCGGCCCGTCTAAGGTTCTTATGTGGCCTGCGAGCAACTAGTGCAAGGGAAGGAACAGGAGACCGCTTGGGGGGGAGTGGGTGGAGCCACTTTGATTGTGGCTTAAGCTTGGCGGAACAACCTCATCTGCAGCAGTCAAACAGCAGGGGAGCGTCTGCCCAGTGCTGCACCACTGGCTCTCCAGTCTGTCCATGTAGGTTTTCCTTTGCACCCCCTCCAGCCCATGGGACCTTGTAGTGAGGATACAACAACTTGGAGCTTACCAGCGACTGTCCTTTATACAATTTATATCTCCTGTACCCGGCATTACATTTTATGGCACACATGGCCCAGCCCGACAAAGGCACATTTACGTCAGATCTGTCCCTCGTAACAAATGGTTTTGACACCTCTGTGATAGAGGCTAAGCCACAGACTGACTTGCCTAATTCTTGGAAGACTGACCTTGAACTAAATGACCTTGCCTAGCTTGACTTCTAGAATCCTGACTTTGGACTGAATGGCCCTGCCCTGCCTGATTTCTGAAACTTGGTACTCAGAGCCTGCAAGCCAGTACACTGCTCAGGGGAGACTTGGGTTGAGAAGGAAGGGTTGAATCGGCATCCAGACCCTCTTCTACTTGTTCCCAGATGGAGGAGGACACTCCTCCACCACCACTCAAAGGAACTCCCCCTAGTCTTCCTCTTCCCTTTGGGATGCTCCTTGTCCCCTCTCTGCATTTTGGCAGCCTCAGCCCTGGGGAGAGGAGCAACCCTGACATCTTCTAACTGCTTCTAGCTGCAAGGTTTTAAATAGCTCTGCACATCCTTTACATGCCCCACTCTCCACTGTCCAATTATGTTGCAAGCTTTGTTGGCACAATATGATCTGCCAGTCTGGCAGCAGGGGTGACATCAC